CCGCCCTATTCCCGAGGGACTCAGGGCGGCTAACAAACAAGATGGGGGAGGGAGAAATACAACAACGGACAAAGTCAAGGACAAATACAAAAAACAACTCAAAAACAATGCAACAGTCGCAACAATTCAAGTGGGGCTGGGAACTCATCAGCCCCAGGCTTGCTGGAACAGCCAGGTCTTGCTAGTCTTGCGGAAAGCCTGAAGGGTGGTGAAGGTCCGAATCTCAACGGGGAGATCGTTCCAGAGGGCTGGAGCTGCAACAGAGAAGGCCCTCCCCTGGGGAGTCGCCAGCCAACATTGGCCGGCCGATGGAATCCGGAGGATTCTAACTAGCTACTAACTTTACAAAAATGACTAGCTAGGGTTTGGGTACGAACGAAGAACCAATCAGAGAACATCCCTCACTAGTCTGTACCAACTGGAAATCAGCTCGGCTAAAAACCAATCAGAAATCAGGAACCCAGCCAATCCCGGATCAGCTGCCTCTGGATTGTGTCTCTGAAGATATTAGCCACAATTGCCAGGAAAATATCAGAAAATGTGTTGTCTAGACCACAGTCACAAAACCCTGAAGTCCAACACTGTCCAACATGATGATCACAGTTTTGCCCACCAAAGGTGGACTAAACCATAGTTCTTTCTTCTCCATTGCAATTCCACTGTGCACCATTTCTGGTTGAAACTATGAATGGGGCTCTTGTTCTGATCTATCAAAACTATTCTTTCATAGAGAATCGCTTTAGTTAGACAAGGGAAAGAAGATGGAGAGAATTATCTTTCTTTTTCTTTTTTTGTCTTCAAGGAGTGAGCTGCTATGGGTTCGCCCGGGTTCGGGAGAACCTGTAGCTAACGTTTTGGCTGGTTTGGAGAACCTCCAAATCCCACCTCTGGCTGGCCCCGCCCATCCCCCTCCCCGCTCCCAGGAGTCTCCACGCGGCCTGTTTTGGATACAAGGTAAGTCCAGGGCCCACATGGAGGCTCGGGGAGGGGGGAAAATGGGCCTCCTGGAAGTTCCAGAAGGCCAGAAACAGGTTCGTTTCCAGTGTCCAGAGGCCCTCCAGAGCTTGGGGGAGGCAGTTTTCATCCTCCCAGAGCCTAGAGGAAAGCCTCCAGAGCCTGGGGAAGGCAAAAATGGCCTCCCTGCCATGGTGCAGGAAGCTGACTAGGCCACACCCACTATATCCATGCTCACCCAGCAACCGGGCAGAGAACCCGTTGCTGCAATTTTTGAAGCCCACCCCTGTCTTCAACAGTACCAATGTAGAAGGGCACACTCTCTTCCGGGGCGTAGTCATCAATATACGCGATTCCCAAAGGCTGGATCGGTGTTTCTCCGATTCCCCGTAGTAGGTTTCCAAGCAAAACGTAGATCCACATGGAAATGCCGGCTTCTTTTTCGCACCCTGGACATACAGAGCAAGAAGTTCGGAGATGCTCTCTGATAACATTCACAGAAACAAGAAGAACAACCCTGTTGCTTATAGGAAAGTCCAACTAGGTGCCTAGGCTGGAGGTTAGATTGGGAATTGAGAATCACTGCCTGAAAGATGACAGTGACAATTGATTGGCATACAGATAGTCTTTGACAATTGGGACAGAAACCTCCATTGCTAAAGTAATGGGGTTGTTAAGTGAGTTGTATCCAATATTATGATCTTTTTTTTGCCAAGGTTGTTAAGTGAATCACATGGTTGTTAAATGAATCCAGCTTCCCCCCCATTGACTTTGCTTGTTGGAAGCCAGCTAGGAAGGACACAAATTATTATCATGTAACTCTAGCCACTGTAATAATAAATCATAAATACATACTAATTGCTAAACACAATAGCACTTAAGACTTATACACTGCTTCACAGGGCTTTATAGCTTCTATGAGATTTACAGAGTCAGCTTATTGCCCCCAACAATCTGGGTCCTCGTTGTACCCACCTCGGAAGGATGGAAGGCTGAGTCAACTTTGGGCCTGGAGAGATTCAAACTGCCAAATTGCATGATTGTAAGTGTGAGTACTGATTGTACATCTCTGTCTTCAGCAACATCATAAATTCAAATAATTGCTAACTAAATGGCCATAAATTGAGAGCTATCTATACTTTTGCCAAGGAAACTAATTGGATAAATGGATATATATGGAGAGAGAGAGAGAGAGAGAGAGAGTATCTACAATTCAACAGGAAAAAGCATGAATTGCAGACAGCAATGCAATAATCTAAATCCATGTTTCTCAAACTTGGCAACCTTAAGACACATGGGCTTCAAATCCCAGAATTCCCCAGCCAGCGTACTGTCTGGGGAATTCTGGGAGTTGAAGTCCACATGTCTTAAAATTGCCAAGGTTGAGAAACACTGACCTAGATACCAGAGGTGGGTTCCTACCAGTTTGCACCTATTCGGTAGAACCGGTTCGTCAAATCTACTGAACCGGTTAGAAGCGGTTCCACCAGTGGACCCGGAAAGCAAGCCACACCTACAGAAGAGGTTCCAAAAAATTTTGAAACCCACCACTGGCAAGGATCATGTAACTTGACAACTTTAAGAGTTGCATGCTTCAATGTCAGTGTTTCTGAATAGCTACTTGGACCGACCTAAGTACTAATTCATAATTTCATATCCGGTCACCTGGGCAGCAAGCCACTCCCACAAAGGAGGCCACACCCACAGAGTAGGTTCCAACAATTTTTGAAACCCACCACTGCTAGATACTATCCA